AGCAGCAGTAGTAGTAGTAGTAACAAACATTGTGGGAGTAGTAGTGGCGAATAAAAAACAACGGCAAACATGCAAATTATGAGAAAATTGGAAAGATCAGCACATGACGAAACATCGTTACACATCATGCAGAATATGAAAACCATGCAAATAACGAGTCGACAAAATTAATGGAAAATGACATTTTATGAAACATGAAAAGTAATGAGAAATAATGGAAAAGGATGATGAATAAGAATCGTGGAAAAATGTGGAAAATGATGAGAAAGGCATGGAAATAATGATAAATATTGTAAAATGGTGAAATGATGAAAATGAAAAATCATCAAAACAAATGCAAATAAGGAAAAATGATGAAAATCATGAAAGATGATGTGAATAATGAAAAAGGGTGAAATATGATAAGTATGAAAATGAAAAAGAATGAGAAATGCTGAGTGAAGAAACATGAAAAATGATGAGAAAATCATGAAAATAATGATAAATGATGATAAATGGTGACACCTAATGAAAAATGAAACATCACGAGAATCCTGAAAATTATGAAAGCATGAAACATCATAAAACGCAGTGCAAAATAACGAACAAATGTGGAAAAATATGAAAGTGGCAAAAATGTGGAAGTTATGAAAATGACGAACAGATAACGAGGAAACTGATCAAACGTCATGTTGAAAAAGGGGAATATGATGACAAATGCTCGCGTGAATATGCTTTGTAAAGTAACAGCGGGTGTGGGGGAGGGGCGCAGCCCCCCCCAGCTGCAAAACTTGGACAAAGATTAGGATACAGTATGTGCTTTCTTCCGCCACGTTAATTTGGCAATGTGATGTGATTAATGACGAGAAGAAGATGAACATGATCAACAGAGATGGGAATGATGAAAATGTGTGAAATATGAGATTCAATGAAACATGAGGGAAATAATGAGAAGTCATGAAAAATGAGTCAAGATGATGAAACATTACTGGAAAGGACGAAAAAGCATGGAAATCCTGAGAAATAATGACCAATGTGAAAATAGTCCGAATGACAGCAAGAAAGATGATAACAACTTTATGAAAATCATGAAAAACAATGACAAATCATGGACAACCATGCAACACCTTGAAAAAGTAACGAAATATCATGAACATGAAGGAACAACACTGCAGAATGATGAAAACCTTGGACAAACGTCATGAAACTGATCATGAATATGATGAAAATGTTGAGATTTATGAAAAAGTCATGAAACTGATCATGAGTATGATGAAAATGTTGAGATTTATGAAAAGTGATGAAAACAAATGAAACATGATGATCAATCCTTCCTTCCTTGGCTTCCTTCCTTCCTTCCCGCCTTCCATCCTTCATTCCTTCCTTCTCTCGTTCCTGCCAGGGTACAGGGTCGAAGCCCAAGCATCAAAAAAACATTCCGGATTGGTGGACTCCCCAAGGAAATCGGCGATAAGTTTCTTTTTGATGCTTAAAAAATTGTTGATGCTTGTAAAGGTTTTTTTGATGCTTATAAAGTTTTTGTTAGCCCCTATCCCCATGGCACCTATCTCCAAGGATTCAAAGAAAGCAATGACAGCATCGTCGTCAAAATGCTTCTCGAAGTCTGGAATGGTAACCTGAAGTGGCGCATGACTCCACGGATCATGAAGGAGAGCCCATGCTCATGATTGGCACCGAACCTGCCCCAGCCCGCGCTCGTCGATCTTGTGGAACAAGCTGGCCACTTGGTCTTTTAGTTCGCGTCTGCTTTGGACAAGCGACATGACCTTGGCAAAGGTGATCATGAATCAGCCGAAATCTGCAAGGTCTGAGACATCGCATTGACATGCACATGGCGAGCGCGCCGCACTTGCTGCAGGATATTCTTTGGCAGGGTCCCACGTTCCTACCTATAGTGTACTTGTGCCTGACATGTGCGGCCAAGATACCAACATTTCATGATCACGTTCCGCAGCTTTGATAGCACTGTTGCAGAAAACACCAGTCATTACCTGACGGACTTTTCACAAGAATTGCCGGACTTTGAGGTGCAAATACCCCCAAACGGGCAAAGCACAGGCAGAGAACTTCAAGAAGATCTCAGTGACATAGCTGGCAACCGAAAAGTCGGAAAGCAACAAAAACCAAAACCCTGGCGGGAAGGCAGCCGCAGCTAGAGGAGCACAACTCATTACCTGACGGATCATCATCTAAAGAAGCGCTGTACCCATATGAATCTGACGGATATAAAACTTTGAGGTGCAAATACCCTCAGACGGGCAAAGCATAGGCAAAGAACTTCATGAAGCTCTCAGTGACATGGCATGAGACGAAAAGTTGGACAACAACACTGACGGATGGGGATGCAAGTTGGTCAGGGATCATCAACCGAACAAATGCCGGACACATGATCAAAACGAACTTGACTTCGGAGCAGCGCGCACGAAAGCTAGAAGTCTATGCACGGTGAAGACTTGCAGCAATGCTCACCATCTTCTACTGGCTGGCTCGTACGTTGTAGAAAATGTCCACCACTTGTGTTCAAAAATGAGAACAGAAAAAAGCTGGAATTTCAAGAGACACTGAATTCCAGTTGGATTGCGCTTAGACTCTCGTAGTTACATGCCCGTGCACGAAGCTTTGAAAAGCAGATAAAGAGTAGAACATTGAAGCAACCCTTATCTTTGTCACGTCACGTCCTTTACTGTTTTTCTATCATTTCCAACTTCCAAATCCCGGAAGTTTGTGAAACCCTAATCAATGATTCAGGAGCTTTCGCTCTCAGCGTTTGGGAGGTTTGAGATGGGTTTCAGCGGCTCGGGTTTGAGGGCAGAGGGACTCTGTAGGGTTAAGAATTCTGGGACTTCAAGGCCCTTTTGTCTTTTCAGGCTTTAAGCTTTGGAAGTAGCCTCTACGTGTCAGGAAAGGCAACTTCAAAATCATTCACTGGAGCAAAGAAAGCAAATAATGCACACATCCAGAAATCAGAGACTGCACTCGGTACAGCAATAGAAAACCAACAAATAATCTGGAGCATCAGTAGGGGCGTATACTACTGAACAAATCCAAGATGCATTCAGGACAGCGAAGCCTAGGTTGCCCAACAGCTGCTACTTGCATCAGAACCTATATGAAACATGTCAGCCTTCATTTCACAGGCGGGCAGCTGCAGAAGGCTATGTAGAAGTGGAAGAATTGCACCCAGATGTGTCCTTCCGGGCACGTACAGGGAACATGCATGTCAACGAAACCCAAAGGATAGCACGTCCCACCTATCTGTCTTGACGCAACGGGCCCAACTAGACGAGCAGCTCATATGTCGCATGAGATACTTTCAGTTGCATGCATAAGCTTCACCTACCTCTCCCACCCCCAATGATAGAAGGCCAGAAAAGCAAGCAAGCGGCTGGCTACAGCCTAACACTGCACGCAAAGTGTCCTTCAGGAATGCTGGAGAGCGCACTCGCCGGCTCACCCCAGGTAACCCCATTTGAGATTGAGCGGAAGAGCGTCAAATAGGAGTCATATAATGTACCAAAATAGGCTTCCAGGACGTCATCGTCCAACTTGACAACTTGCAGATCTTGCACATGGTCGATAACAGCATCAGTGAACACAATGGCAAATATGTAAATAATCAAAGCCAATAGCAGCATTGCCCAAAAGAGTGCTTTCATTGTGCCGAGCAAGGATTGGACCAGAGTACGCAGACTTCGGAAGAATTTGACCACGCGGAACACCCGCACTACCTCAGCGCCAACTGCTGCTTTTTGCTTGGCTCTGGTCCAATTTCCAGAACAGCATACAACCCAAACTTCCTGTGCCTTACGTGTAAGGAAAGAATGAACTGCCATGTTGCCATTGAGGGGCATGCGCTACCCCCATTTACCCCAAACAGCCAACCCCTCTCAGAAATCCTCTTCCTTCATGCCAAAGTGCACGCACCAGCTTGCCGACTCGTAGGAGCCTCAAAATCCGCAGATTGCCTGGACAAGGATCAAATTGACTTACTGCATCGGCTCACTGACCATACTAAAACTCGAAGGAAGGGATGGGCTTTCGATGCCCTAGGGGGGAGAAACGGACCACCGGATCATGCTGACGATGGTGGACCTGCTCAAGGGTGCCTGACAGTGTCCCGTACATCTGCCCCTGCCAACACAGTCAAGCGCAGAAGTATGGACATCAAAGCGTTGGCAGTCAGTACCCCTGATCTCACCGAAACATTGGCATCATTATGTTTTCTTTTCAAGCTACAGCTTCCTAAGCGTGTTTCCTGTTCTCTGATTCTGGAACGCATTCTTCCATAATGCGCAGGCTGCGGGTCGTAATGGAAATGGCATGATGCCCAAAATGATGCTTTCCTCTAGTACCTTTACAGGAGTTTATGAATGTTATATAGGGACATATCGGATAATATGGGGATTCCATAGGTTTTTTAATGTCAGGTGAAGAACTTGAGAGGGGCTGCAGAACTTTCACGGAGAGCTGGGTACAAGCCGTACAAAGTCGAAAGCACAAAGCGTGCTGATAATGAGGGCTTTGGGGGCTTTGACGCTTTGACGCTTAGAGATTCCAACAGAGCTAACCATGGCAGGGCCCGCCCGTGTTGGCGGGCCTAACCTGAGCTTTCTAAAGGAAGCTGAGCTGCTGTTCGTTGATGTGCTGCCTGAGCAGTTGCATGTGCGTGTCTCACCAATGCAAGAGCTGCTTTCTTAGCAGCACGGCATGGACGGCATGCTGTTTCATCCTGGACACTTTGTCCGTGGTTGAGCAGCTCTGAGGCCAATTCCACCCAAGAAGACAGTACCTGAGCAGAAGGCTCCTGCGAAACCTGTAGACATAAGCTGGCAGTCATCCTGGCACGTCTCATCCGCCTTCCACGCATCAGTAACAGTACATCACAGACACAATGTCGCAAGTGCCTGCTTATTGTAGCTTTGCCAGGCGGCCACAAAAACGTCCAGCCAGTTCCAAGCCCAATCCAGCGATTCCCAGATGTATCTGAGGTAGCAGCTCGAGTCTGCAGTCAACCGACCAGACGCAGACTAAACGCAGAACTTGCAGGCTGCTGTCCAGGCACTTCCTGCATCCATCTGCTGTCAATCGCAAACAGACTTCCACGGTGAAAAGCAGAGAGTACAGGGTGTGTAATGTCGCGAAAATGGAAACGCCAGAGGAAAAGTCTCTGGTCACGGCCTGGAATTCCAGATGGATGCCTGGAAAACAGCAAGCGACACAACACATGCCATCAAGATACTGACAGCAGTTTTTTTACATCGTGTACTCCGCTTGAAGCTGTTTAGTGAAATTGTGGTGAACTTGCTACATGGTGGGTTCCCAAAATCAAGGAACACCCGTATGACTTGATGCTTTGTATAGGGACATTACAACAAAAGACCCCTGATTTTCGGAACCTGCACATTGCTAGGGGGAAGCTATGTTGACAAGGCTCCGAGCAGCATCGAATTTGTGACCACTGCGAGGCCAAAGAACAAGTTGCAACACTGCGAATCAACAATCCACTTTGCATAGCTCTGACCTCAATGACTCAACATTCGCCCAGAAGCAGAAAATTCGATACATGAGAATCTCAACAACAACTCAACAGGGCAGCATAGACATGGCCGTTCTGACAGTTTGACGATTCTGTTAGCAGCATCAGCTGCAACAAACCGCGTGGGACAACGCACAATTTTGCACATCACGCTGCTAAGGTTCCAATCGCGTGACCCTACCAACACACACGACCCTTACACAAAGCACATGTAAAGATAACGTACGCGATGCTGCGTTTCCTGGCCCTATTCGATGCTGATTCTTGTGGAAATTAAGAATAAGTAGGAGCCAAAGGGCACAAGGGAGTGTTCACACAAAACGAAGGGGCGCGACTCAACGTCTTCAAGTCGGAAAGCGTATTCGTTTTTCACGCTGAACTCCAAGGTGATATTACCATCATTCCTCGCAAGCCAAATTGCAACCAAGCGTAATTGGAGGCAGGCCACAAACGTTGAGAGCTGTCAACCTCCTGGAATCGCGTCGAATTGGCTGGACATTCTCAGACTGCTGCACCACACGGGTGTGAGTAAGCTGGGCCTCAATGCATGCCACGGGCATCTTGCTTAGATCCAAAAGTAGTTGGGAGCTAGCACATTGCTTGCGCCTTCACCACAAGTATTGCTGCATGGTCCTGCTGCGAAGCGGCTCTGTCGTAGCTGTTCATGCTCTTGCTCTGCTGGAGTTGCGGAACTGGCGAGCGTCTTCGCTTTTCAAAGTCTGTGAAGTCTTTCGAGGACTGGCAAGCCTCTTCCGCAGATCTGCGCACCTTGTTTCAGGACTACCCCACCCCCCCTCCCTGTTCTCCTTCTGTACTCCTCTTCTAACCCAGCGCACCTGCGCAGAACGCTCCAGACGGGCATCCAAGGACTGGAGCCATGAATCCATCCGTGCCAGGAGCTGAAGCTGATGGCTTTCAAGCACCTTCAGTTCTCTGAACCCTTCCCCTATGCATGACACCACATGTTCCTTGCGTCAAAGACTCTGGCCTCCTCAAAATGCGCCAGTACTTTGGGCGCATTTTCTTCCATTGCTGCACAGGGCAGCTGCTGCTGCTTCTGCTTCTGCTGCTGCTGCTGCTGCTGCTGCTGCTGCTGCAGCTCTAGTTTGAGACCCACACTGCATCACACTGCTGCCATGGTCAGTGGAGCAAGGACTCAGGCATCGGACAGGACAAGTCAATGCAAGACAGCGCTGAGAGTCGCAAACAGGAAAAGGGAGAACGGAAAAGAAAAGCAGGACGGAGGGAGAGGAAGTGTCTGGAAGACAAAGTAGTTGCCGACAGTGTAGCTTTCACACCAGCAAGCTAGAACTCATTGATCTGCAGTCCTCAGCCCTCCTGCAAGCGTTTTGCCTTTCTTGCTCTGCGGGCAACCCGACAACAGAAGTCTCCACTGTGGCCACATTTCCATGGTGGCTCAGCTTGGGCTTTGCGACCAACCTACAACATACAACATGATGTACGCAAAAAGTGGCAACATCTCAGCTTTCATTGCCCATTGGGTGCCACCTGCTAAACTGGCAGAAAAGAGTCTTCAAAAATAGGGGAACTATGCTCGGAAGTCAACAAGTTCTGCGAGATGGACTTGAAACTCTAGGACATACCTTGAAACGAGACAACTGATGAGCGCACGTCTTGCAGAGCGGAACGTTGCAGCCTCCTTTGGAGTTCACAACCGGCCGCCGGTTCGTTAACAAGCAGTGTCAGGCTACTTGCGCCATGGGCAGATGGCAACATGCAGGTCTACTCTTTTGTCAGCAATACAACTTTCCAGGGTTGCCGTGTAGCCTGACACATGTGCAGCGCAATCTTCTGGCCAGGTGAAGGTTCGGAAATTCGGGGTGATTTCTCAGAGATTGGGGAAGGATTCGAGCAGTCAGCCCGCAAAGCCTAGCCCAATTTCGCAAACCTCCACACAATGTTGAAAACACAAAAATTTTGGCAGGCCCCCGCCAAACTTTCCGGTCATATGGGGCTAGGAAGGAAAAGTTGCTGATCGGTCCGCTGCAGCGTTTGCCACCATGGGTGCTTGAAATTCTTCAGACTCCAAATGCATCGAGGTCTTTGCTCAAGTTCATTGTTGACTTGGTGCCGGATTTGCTGGCCTTGCAATGTGATAATGCTTTGGAAAAGGGCATAATCCGGACTTTCTGAGTGCATCCAAATGGCGGTTCGGCCGTTCTTCTGTGCATCTTGCAGCTGCTGCACTTGCTGACTTAGCTTGACCTCATGAGGAGGCTGGCCAAACTGCAACTCGCGTAACTTGCCTTCATGACGAGCAAGGCACAAAAAGGATGTCAGAAAGCAGGTTTAAACTTGCCAAGAATCATAAGCAAATGACAAACAATACATTAAGAATGGATTTGCAAGGCTTCCTTGTAAGAATTAAGAGGGAACCTTTGTCCCGCTCATGCACGTTGATCCTTAGCACACTGAGGGCAACGCCCCTACCACCCACACCATCCTGCCTAAGATGTCCACATGCTGCCTTGGGAAAGCTGTGCAGGTGAGTAGCTGTAGTCTGTCTCAGAGCAAACCTTGGCTTCCGGCTAGCCCTGTGCAGCTACGAAGTGTGAACAATCACAAAGCTTGGGCGTGCAAGAAAGTCCAACAGCCACAAAAGCCGATGAGAGCAACAAATTGTTCTGGACACTGGGGACATGGTCAGCCCCAAGGTGTGAATGTGCGAAGGGGCAACAACGTGATGATAAGTGATGAGGCGCTTGCAAAGATGCACATGCTGCATCTAGCAGGGAAGGTCAGCATATGTAGGGCCCAAACTTAGCCGTTTAGAGTTCTGGGAATATCCACCAGTTAACAGTTTGCCGATTTTGTGGTGGCTTTTATTTGGAGTTTGCCTAAATGGCTTTCATATTACGAAAGGTTCGCAAAAAGATGTACTTCACTGGGAACTCCTCGGCCCCCTGAAATACTCTCCATGATGACTTCCAAATCCCTTTGTAGCCCAAAGCCTTCGACCCTAAAACCCCGTCAACCCCAAAGCCTAGCCTAAATCCCGAAGCAGCTGTTTCAAGCCGGAGCTTGCTCCTGCATGCCGGTTGCAACTCACCACCAGAATCTGGATTGCTGTTAAGGAAGTTAAACTAAATTATCATAACAAGGAAAGCCTATTATTTACGATATATGATATACCCAAATTACGGTAGGGTATTTCAAGTTCCTGAACAGCAACCCAGTACGTAATCTCGGCCACAAGGCGCACTAGCCAGTTTCAGCTAGCTAAGCACCCCAAAGAACCCAATCCCAAATGCCCTGAAATGAACCTCAGACCCTAGATACACCTCTCAACCTTAACAAACTCCCAAAACGCTTGAAAACATTACTTCATCATTTCGCCTACAAAACCATCTTAAGCCCAGAGCCAAAATAATAACACTTCTTTTCAATACGGACTTGATCCCACATCAGCTCTTGTAAACCGTAATGTTGGGTAGTCGATGATGGAAGGGTTCGGAATAGAGCAAAATTTCGCTCCAACAAGAATACAAAAAGGGTATGGAATAGAGTCGCATACGAATGACAACAACGCAGAAACGGAATGGCGGCACGATTTGAATTGGAAACCCCAGAGACAAATGAGTGATCCCTTTACCTGTTCAACTGTACCAATTCCCTTGCGGATTCTGGATTTCATCCTTCTCACAGCCATCTATTTCTTATGCACATATTCAAAATGACTAGCTGATCATGGCAGAACGGAATAATGTAATCTGGTCTATGCCAGGCCTGTGTCTCAATCAATAAAACCGAAATTGGGATTTTAATCCGCGGTTTATTCTAAGCTCCTGAACCACTTGAGGCCCTACACAGAAACAGAATTCTATCCGGCATTCCGGATTTCGTCTTTGCCAGAAAACATCGCTTTCTTATTCTGAACTTCCTTATTCACAATGCCTAGCAAAACATCCGCGCTGAGGGGTAATATACCTGGCACCCTATTATCTAGAATCGTCGAGTTGTTTGTGGCGGACGGGGCTTTGTATTTACAAACCCCCATTAAACCCTAAACCTCCAAAGCCAAAACCAAGAGGCAGGTCAGCCGATCTTGCCGGGCCGTGAAGCTGCATGCACCGCTCCGTGAACTCCTGCACATGGTGCCCCAAGGGTTTGGAGTTTGGGGGTTTTGCGGAGCGCATGGCTCTAGGCAGCGCAGGGCAGATGCGGGCTCACGACGGCTCATGCATTGTAGAGGAATCCAAGAGTTCTTCTCTCCTGCCTTGCCTCTTACAGTATGCAGGGAAATTGGCGTCGTTCCACAATGCTATGACAACGGTCTGTTGCTGAGAATGCTCAACGCAGTTCCATACCATGGAGGATCTGGGGTGTAGGGCATTTCTGCCACGTGCACGACTCGGGGCATTGCAAGGCGTACACTGGTTCAAGCCTCAGCGGGTACTGATCGGCGCGTACGACATGTCCAGATATGTACACGGCGCATTCCGGTCTGCAGGGAATTAATAGTCTCAGGCCCAGGAAAGTTGCAAATACCGACAGTTGCAACCGGCGCAAAAGACACGTACGTGATACAGCATTTGAGATGCTGTGCTTAGTCACAAGGGGTTGCTACTGAAGTGTTCCTGGACCCGTAACCTGCGAAGTCTCATATACCCTGAATTAACGCCCAAAAATTGCAAAGTCACTTTGAGACGGTTTGACTGTGAAGTCCAAAAGTGCTAGTTTTGGAGAAGTTGTTGCCTGAAAACTCGAAAAGTGAATCGTTTTCAACAAAAATGTTTCTTCTGAAAAATGCATTGCTTGAGCTTTTGCCCGAGTCAAAAAGTGACACGTTTTAAAAGCTTCGCCCGAACAGTTGAAAAGTGAACTTCTTGCTAAAGCTGCCCGAAATCGCGAAAAAAACAAACGTGTGCGACAAGTTTGACTTGTAGAGCTTTTGCCTTTTTGCGAAAAGTAAATTTTTTGGCGACAAGTAAAACTTGTTGACTGTTTCCGGAACGAAATTTTGACTTTCTCCAGCTATGCGAAACCAATGGCGCTGGCGAGCTTAGCCAGACTGAGATGTCCACGTCCTGGCACAGCTCTCTCAGGGCACCCGCCCGACCCCAGCAAGTGAAGTCCTCCACACTGACAGTGTGATCCCCATCCATATCCAAGGAAACGAAGAGAGTCCAGGCATCCACGGCTCCAATCCTGACTTTGCCATGTTCAGCAGCCGTCTTGCATATCCTCTGACTGCAGTGAAAGACTCTTGCTATTCAGAGTTCTTCTTGAACCCAGCATCTGCAATGATTCGAAAAATGCCTTGACTGCCTCATCTTCGAAGAATTTCTCAAACTCTGTGAAGGTGATGTGCCCTTCGCCTGCAGGCCAATGAGAAATTGAGCATTTACAGACAAGTAGTTGATCCTAAATGGTTCCCCAAGTGGCCGCTATCAGACAAAACGCTCTCATAAGGTCGAACACAAAACAGGCCTAATCCCTTCCCCCTAGTATTAAATGACGTCCCCCCTAATATAAAATAGTCCGGGACCCAAAAAAATCCTTATCATTGGGTCGATATTTGTTGCAGAGACTGCAGATCATGCTGTCTTTGATGTCATTTTAAAATCCATGGAAAATCAACAAACCATTGATTAAAGAATTGCGTAAATAAATCAATAAATCAAGCTGATTAAATTGAATGCCTAATCAGTTGAGATTAAGTAAGAAAATTAATCAATTGAACATTCCAGAACCCCCTAATTCATTATGGGGGGCCCCGTTTAGAATAGTCCTGCCCTTTCAAAGGTGCTATTCCGGATTCTTACGCCCTGATTAACATATCTAATATCAAGGGGGGTTCGGGGGAACAGATTACAGGGAACCAATCAGCGAACGCAAGCTTAAAGAGATTGCAAAATTTGAATCCGTTCCACTTCAAGACCATTGGACACGGGTCACCCGGACCTTCCACGCACCTTTCAATCTCCACCGTCTCCATCAAAACCATGATTTTGGGAAAGCTAGCCTCGGGAGTCGATCTTGTTGAAGAGATGCGACACCAAATCGCGCAGCTCCTCCAATTCAGAAGCAAAATACTGCAAACACCCTAGCCGACAATCACCGGGCTTGGCCCTGGAACTGTGCAGCGTAGAAAACATACCGTACTTGAAGAGGAGCTGCAATTTCAATGCGCATTAATTTTCAGGTGATATTGAAGGAAACCATTGGCGTGTTCACAACAAGCTATACGATACCTTTATGGATGCAAATTCCCAACTGTGCCAAACGTCACGCCCTCTTCTTGAATGCTCACGAACCGGTCCATGGACAAAATGAAACTGCCATCCTCAACTGGGAGGAGCTTGAATACAACCATGAATTTACTACTTCGGCGCCCGGGTCGCACTGCTATTTATTACAGTAGGGTTTAAGTTTTAAGTTTCAGGGATTCAGGGATGTTAACCGAACAACGGCGAATCAAATGGAAAATGAAACGGAAACCACTACTTAAGGTGTAGTGTGGCAGGCAAAGAGTCCTGCCGCGTCTGCACCAGCGATTGGACGACCATTTCGTGATCGCTCTCTGCTGCTTTTATAGCACTGTTGCAAAAAACGCCAGTCATGACCTGGCGCAGCGGCTTTTTTGAGGTGCACATACCCCCAAACGGGCAAGGCACGAGCAAAAAAATTCATGGAAATTCCCCAACAGCGGATACGCTTAAGGTGTCTACAATCTGTAAGCAAAGGCGCGGTGACTAAGTTTCGGGCAACGGGTTCCCGGGAAAGTA